GAAACGGTGAACTGTTATCCAACTTGAAAATATCAGCTAGTGTTCGGAAAGTAAATCTGACTTTGATTGACTTTGTCACGAACTCTTTGAGATGATTATTTCGTCGGGGATTTGCCTAGCTGGCGGTATGCAAATGGAATGTTTTTATTTCAGTATGAATGTTGACGAGACCCATTATTCCGGAGACCTTAAATAACGTGTTCATGTTTGAGATATGCTTCTACTCTCAATAAGCCCAAATATCGATTATCTCTGGTCTGTATCAACGCCTCGTCTGATCATGAGGAAGAAGAAGGGGAATATATTGATCACTTCTCTTCCTATGGGCTTTTTTATCTACGAGGTCTTAGTAATTGCAATGAATGCTCCTCTAACTTTCACTAAATAGCGCTGGCAGCCTGGATATGTCTATAAAAGGACAACAATACGGCCGTCTTACTGTGTGGTTGGGAACTGTGGCCTATGAAGATAGTGTACATTTTCAGTTGTTAGATACAACGTATAATAGTTAGCAGGTCATTCATTGAGTGCTGTCACTGTCCATCACTGATATGTCACCTGATTTTTGTATAATAATCAAGAATCGACTCAGTTTATATTATAATCACTTACTGATGGCACCGGTGGGTATATAGCTACCGCCGTTTTTGTAGCACGTAGTACGTGCCTAACTTATAACGCGTTTCAGAGGTGAAGTTTTGTTATCCTGAACAAACTATTATAAGCGAATCGGTTTTGGTCACCGCTGCAGCCCATTGTCGAAAGGGTGATTTTAGCATGAATCATTGACCTACTGAGAAGCATAGATCACCGATAGTAAATTTTAAAAAAGTGAGTGACATGAAGATATGGAATAAATTCACTTACGAAATCGCGAAGCAGTTCCGTTATGATCATTAGATTTTTTTAAATTTCATTACGTCTTGATGTCCATCGATCTTTTCTGGTGGATCTCGAGTAACACTACGCATGCGAAAAGTTTCTCAAAGCTCAATTTAAGACCGCGAAAGCTAGTGGACACTACATGTTAACCTGTTGCAAACATCAACTGAAGATAGTAACTGCTAGGCTCCATTTATACTTATTTTAGCCACTAAAAATAAGCAGTGTGTTAATGAGATGGTATGTAGTATTGGTGACAATTCATTCCGCAGCCGTCTGAAACATCTCAAGGACTTTGAAGAACAGTTTAACTGACCCATTGATGTAACAACCTCAACCTGTCATATGTTTCTTGATCAGTGACTACTGATCTACTTAAAGGGTAGACCTAAAAGGGAATCCAGTTCCTAAAAATTTTTAAGCCACTCAGCCCTTTCCAAATATGCTAGTGAACTTCTAGTGCCGGATTTGATTGGATATTTTGAAATGGCAGACTAAAAATGACGTCTTCCTGGTTTATAACATTTGTAACTACCTGTTAACTATAATTTGAGGTGGATAAAATGTCAGGCTTTTCAGTGAGCTATGTACATTTTTTGGGAAATATGTGTGTTTATCTGTTAGCTTCGATCATGAATTCGTTATATTGTGTATCAGTTTTTATGTGGGGCGTGCAACTTTGGGTTATTTTACTCTAACAATATTCTACATTAAATCCTGAATGTATTATTTTTTGTTCTGTAATGTTATCTGTGTACAGAATCACTTAATGTAGCCAATGCATATGATGAAATCTTTGAGAAAGTAATTAATTCTGTCCTTATAGTACGTAGGAAGTTTGAATTTCAAATCGTAAATCATCTCCGTCGGATTTAGCTTGAAAATGTATATTTAATACAACAAAGATAGTAGTGTCAATACAATAGTACAATCTAAGTAATTGAAATCGTTGAAAAGAGAATTATTGCTGAATTTTCGTTATTCTTCAAAGACAATGTGTTTATTCGTTATTTCAGTTTTTATGCTGAAAATAGCTATGGATTTAATGATTATTTGCCTTTCTATAACATTCCTTTACAGTGCATGGGGATAATCAAAGTTCGCATAATTGCAGCTACTCTATAATGCCCCCAAATGCCTTGGTACGGCCGAGAGTGGAGAGAGTCTGCTCTCCCTCTCGAAATGCTCTCATATGGCCACGCGAATATATAGCCTCTGCCAGGAAAGTCCTACTCACTGCCTTCTCGTGGCGGGGGTGTTGTTCACAAAAGTGAGAGGGCGAAAAGCGAATGTCCGGCGCTCTAACCGGGTTGGTGGATGTGTAGGATCCACCTAGGGGAGTTGCAAAACCCTGATTCCAAACCAATGGTGAACATGGGCTCCAGTATCCTGAAGGAACGAATGGCGTATGAACCAACTGTTGGTTACTGGCTACCATGGGACTGCATCTCCTTACGATGCTCCACTGCCTTGTGGACTAGACCTTTAGGTCAAAGGCTCCGGGTGTGGCCCCCTAAGATAACCACGTGCTTCAGTCTGGGCACCTGGGCAGTATCACAGCCCTCACACAAATCGAATGAGATTTGTGAGGCGCATATTTATCTGGTGCTTCCTTGTACCAATATTTATGTGTTTAAATAAATAAATAAACTCTATAATACAGTGCACTTTGGATTCATGAAAATTGTCGCTCTTTATTTTTAAATATCCTTTGCATATTAGTTTAAAATTCATTACTTTAACATTCACTCCATGTGGTATAGATTATAAAATGCCACTAGTCTCCACGAAAAAAAGTCATTCCAATATAAGTCATTGTGTGTAGGGATATTTCAGTAGTAACTAAGATCAGTATACTGTTTAGATTAACCATGTTTTAACATCGTTCTAATGTTTTCATTTGACCAGATCATTTCTAATTTTGGTTATTATGCAATAGGAATTGGTATTCCATGTGTTTACTTATCATGGTAGTCTTATCTCAACAGAACTTTTATGAGGTTTGCGACTCGCTACGTTTTCCAACGTATGGTTTTTGATTAACTATGTCGCTTTGTCACTGACAACCACATATTAAATATATAAAGTCATTTAATAAAAAAACTCGAATTCAGATGTACCGATAGATCAGGTTTTTTGTGAAGGATTAGTTTAATTATCACGTAATTTACTGGATGCCAAAACGAAGTAGGGAAAATTGTTATATATATTCTTTGTTTTTCATATCAGTCAGAAGTTTCTGCCATATCAAAAAATTCAAATGTAGCTGATTAGTAAAATTTTAGGTCCAGTGTTAATTTTAAAGCTGTCTGTCAGTTATCTAGGCAACCATAGGGTCTTCAGAATTAGAAGACTACAAAAAACTAATGTGAAAGTTATTTAGTTACCCCAATATAGTCAGTCAACGTAGGACCAGGCACATATATGCATCTGTACAAGTTGCCATACCACATTAGCCAAACAAGATGAACACCACATTCATAGTAGTTAATTTAATGGTGGTAATATATAAAAGAAAGATTGTATATAAGGATATAGTACAAGAAGAAAGACAGATATGACGCAATTTTAATCTCACGGTTTAAGGGAAGATAAAGAGTGTATACACCTACACCATTGTGATCGATTCTGAGCCATGTCACCTAGAGTTTCCAACCATTGGTCACGGAGACCCTAACCAAGTAGTCTGCATCTGCTAACATGTCTCACACTAGAAGTTAGTGACTTCAAGCTCTGATGCCACGTTTTAGTTTGACCGTCCCTATATCTCTTCCAACCATCGTCAATACTAGCCAGCATTGCGCGTCATGGTAATCGGTGTTCAGGCATACTTAACACGTGGCCCAACCATCTCAGTTGATGAAGATTCATGACCTCATCAACTGATTTACCATCATTCCCTAATACCCTGTGTCTAACTTCACTATTACTTACCCGGTTATCCCAGCAGATGCGAGCAATATTTCTAAGACATCTGTGGTCAAATACTAGTGACTTACGAGTATCTTCTACTCTTAATGGCCACGTTTCACAGCCGTAAAGTAGAACAGAGAGAACTGCTGCTCAGTATACTCGTCCCTTAATTGATAGACGGATATCTTGTCTTCGCCATAGGTGATGTAAGTTGGCAAAAGCCAAACGAGCTTTTTGAATTCGTGTTGAGATTTCGTCAGACACCACCTTAATATAACTGTAAAGAATAAAGTTTTATCCAGAACATTATCCGGCAGTTAATGATGATGGATTGTGTAACACAAGTGACAGCTAACTAGAATCAAAGAAATTCGAAAGAATCGATGTACAGAGATGTAGGAAAGTGGACTTCATTGCTTGTTGTAGACGACAAACGTTTTAAGCACAATTGAATCAAAATATGTTTCTTTTCCCAGGTCAATTTACAGACTTAACTCATGCCTAAGCATCAAACTGTTTGTCGAAGGCGTACTCTCTCATTTGCTGATATCACAGAAGTAAGATATTAAATATTTAAATGTAATACGCGTTTGCTAGTGTTTTTTCATTAACCTTGGTAACATGGTTTCATTTATTGTATAACGTATATCATTGTTGCTATATTGGTCATTGCAATTGCATGAGTGGACCGCGATATTACTAACTCCCGTCTACATTTGTATGTCACATTTCTGTGGTTTTTCTCTGTTTAATAAGTTATGCAAAGGCTGTTATGTCTTCACAAAATAAACAAAGACGTATCCTAATTCGTTATTGAATTTTATGTCCGGCTTCTATCACGTGAATTATCCACTAATGGGAATACGACTTCTCCGACCTTAACATTGTGACAATCAATGACGTTCGATCAGTATGAGTAATCTACCGTCCTTATTTGCCCTTTGTCCGCCTAGCCCTTCCAATTGAGTCCAGAACAACAATGACAGTTTCTGTTATGCGAATCGTTTATTTCAAGCATACTCTGTTTATATACCAGATAGACAGACCACATCACACCATAAAGTAGAAAATAATATTTGTACAAGATCAGGCCAAATGTGGCTGTGAACGTGGGATACAATAATCAGTAAACTGAATATAATTTAGGAACGGTAAATCGTATAATAATAATAATCCATAGGTTAAAATGAAGCTTATAATAAGGTGAATATATATATATATATATATATATATATATATATATATATATATATATATATATACAATCTAGTTACTTAACCGTTAAACAATAAGAATATACATAGAATAATCGTCCGTTAATAGGTCCCGGAAGTTACCCAGACTTAAGTCTTTGCTAGGATATAACAAAGGCAACTACTCGTTTTATTTCAACTGACTCTATAAAATTCTCAGACTTTAAATATGTATTAGTGGTTATGTCTGTATGAATATTGGTGCACTGGCTAAGAAGTGTTACGTCAGCCTCTTATATTTTTGGTGTATCTTGTGAAGACCAGTGAGTTATGACATAATAAAGTCACTACTCTCCAAAGTAGCTCAACGAGTCGACATTAGCAATATGAAGATAAAAGGATTCGAAATAGCAGCGTCAATCGTGGTAAAACATTGAATATGATATGAAATTAATACTCGAGATCTGATGGAAGATAGAATGTGGATACATCTGTACCACTGCGATCAATATTGACCGGTTTCACACAGATGACTTTTGTCCTCAGTCTGCAGCTAGTAATGTGGCTTCTCTTAATATAATGCAGTAAGACACGTCACACTTTGGTTTAGTAGCTCCTCTCCTCCTACTAGTCTATGCTGATGCTTAAAGTATCCACTTTTCAACCACTTGGCTTTTTGTTTGAAACCTGCTCAACCTATTTCACTTTTTTTTATCTGCGTAAAATAACTAGCCATAAAACCTAGAGTGTGACTTATAGCCGAGTAAGCAGACCTGTACTATTGCTCATAGTGGTGACTGGGCTTACATGTTCTAAACACAGTCACTGAAGCTTCACAATGACATTAATCGATTTGCAAATTCTATCTAGTGGACTATGACTAAACTCAGTTTTGCTAACTCGGTTTCACCATATGAAGTCACATTATTCGGACTTACGCATATCTGCTTTCATATACTATTGTCATAAAATGTCATAGAATCAACCACTACTCTGTACAGTTGCTCTTTGACTAGAAGATGGATGCGTAGGTACATATTTGACAGTTGGTATATTCTTTCAACGATTTCATTGGATAACTACTTAGTAGGAAGATGACTTCCTTGGATATTTTAAACTTTCATAAGATTATTTCTTTGTTTAGCTTATTCTAATGCTTTTTTCACACTTAGTGCCGCAAAATCAATCGTACAAATTTAAATGAAAATTATGATATCGATTCATCAAAACTATTCGTCCGTAGCATGGTACGTCATCCTTCTTTCACGCTTTTGGAAGATTATCAAAATTCATTCCATGAACTGCCTTTTCTTACATTGAAAGACTCTAATTCTCAATTTAAAAATACCTGCGAATCCACTGAAATGAATGACTCACTGAAACCAAATTCGAATTCTCAACCTGTTTTGGATCCGTTTATTTTCGGTGTATCATTTACTGAATCAAATTCCTCCAATTCCCAACTTGATGCATTACAATTATCTAAAATGCATAGTAATTCACTAGGTTCTACAAATTCATCCCCGTTAGAAAATAAGGAATACCTGTTTCCTTCATCACCGTTATCCTCAACTTTGATCAAATTATATTTATCCAAGGTAATTAAATTTATTTGTTTTGTCGTTGTAAATGACGATAGCTAGTAATGTTGTTTATACAACCAAGACGTTGACATAATTCATGATCAAGGTCATATTTATAGGGTGGGATCATATATTTACACAAATTGATCAATAAACGGTAGCTTATGTAACATTTTGATATTCAGCATAGATTGAATTCTGTCTACCAAGAAATGCTTTAAAATCGTCAAAATATGTGTCGTTAATGTAGTATGTTATAATCGCTATAGGTTACTTTGAGACAGTTACTAAAATATCGTGAAATTAAGTTTCATGTTTGCTACTATTTATCAATCCTGTTTATTCGTGTTGATATTGATCGACAACCTAAACCTGTATTGTCTTGCGTGAAATTGATACTTCAATAACATATTAAGAGATTTTTATGTTTATATATGATTGACACTTATAACCTTGATATATATTTAATTAATTCATAATATCTATAACTATTTCTCATGATTCATTTGCTTTTATCATCTAGTTTCAATAGCCAGTTGTAGTGGATTTTGGGGGGTGCTTGTATTTGCAATTTTACAATTTACTTTTGTTACATTTCATTGATTTCTTGATATACTGTGTATAATGTTCAGTTACTTATTAGACTGATAGGCAGTATTCTAGGTTTAGTCATTTTAACCAAATTAATTGTTTGTTTGATGGAGTATAATAAACTTGTTATTGTAGGTTAGATATTTTTATCATAGAAGTGATCATAAAAAAATGCTTTTATTTTTATGGCTTCAGATTAACTTTAAATTTTTCAATGTTAGTTATAGTTGGATAATCAGTATTATTGTAGGATTAATTCGTAATTGGATGATGTTAAACTGGAAGAATGATTTGGAATTTGGATATTGAGTTAAAACTTGAGTATACACAGGAAACTTCCAGCTTATCTCTTACATGTAGTGTATATTAACTATCGTATTCTACTTCTTACACCTTTAGTAACACAATAAGAGCATAATATTCACTCCGCCTGACCTTGATTTATAATCTTTTTTCAACTAATAACCGAATTTACGGTAAATGTTTGAAAAGTTTAAATCAAAAGTTTCTACTTATTTTTAATAAACTAGTGATTATTGTCAGAGTTTATTTTATAAAAAGTATAGTTCGCGGACCATTGTTGGAACCCGTATTTCATTGCGTATCATTAACCTAAAACTTTTTATGAATTCGAATTAAAAAAAAGATATGTTCCTTTTGGAATTCGAATAATACTAAAATGATTAGGGGGTAATTCATTCATTAGCCTAAAAAGTGATTATACTTTTTAAATCTAACTGAAGTGTCAGTGATATATCCTGTATTTTTACGCCTTGTTCATTCAGTATGATTATGATTTTCAATTCTTTTTCAATTATCAGGTCTCTTTATGCTCACCTACAGAGACAACAGGAGATAATTTAAATTCAGATAATGAACAACTTAACTTTCATAATAATTTATATCCAAATTTGATTGGTCTACCTGGATCCCTACAAACTGTATTACATTCATTAGCTTCTATGGTTATGCCTACTAGACATTTTATTGGTATGAAGACAACAACTAATGAAATCAAGTCATCAAATTTAACAAGATTATCTTCATTAAATGAGAATTTCAAAATTTATCACTTAAAATCCCATTATAGTGATGGAAGTGCATATAATACAGATGAAAACTATTCAAGTTGTACTGAATCTTCAAGTATATTAGACGATATTTCAAATGGTTATTATTCAGATAACTATCTTATTGAAGCAGCTAAAAAAATGAAGAAATCTCATATGATAAATAATCTATGGCAAACTGTAAAATATAATCAACAATCTAGTCAAATTTCTTTATTTTCAGGTAAATTTATTTTCTCACACATTTTAATCTTGCATTTCTTAAAACTTCAATCAACCATTAATGTCATGGTCAATTTATAGATATTCAAATTAAGGTTTTACATACTAACGTGTTCTTGTTTTATCAGTAATTGTACACAGAATCTTCATTGAAATTGTAATGAGATTTAAAAATTTTAGATATCTGACTATCATGGTCTGTGAAGTAAGCTTTGTGATATTACTCTCAAGAATATCATAAATAATAACGGGGAACTTATGGAAAACAGCAGTATCAATATAACAGTTAGTTAATATAATTCAAAAACCGATCACGGGTTAATATCTACTTGGCTAGGGGCTATATTTTTTGCATGTTTATTCATTAATGATTCTACCTAGTGGAGGGGATTGTGTAGATCTGAACTTCAGTGGTTGAAATTCAAGTCTTGTAACTAGTAAACTTACCATCTTAAAATAAAATAAAGAGTTTAAAATTATTTGGTTTATTAACTTCTATAAATTGGCAATATATTTTTTGTTGTATTCACTGCTCTCTGTTGATTAGTATCAATGCTGAAACCGAGTTATTTAGGTGTTATTATATTTCTTATGTAGCTCAGTCTCTCACTGGTCTTTTATAATTAGCGTTTTAAGCGTTAAAATATAATTGTTATCCGTTTTTACAGTATATAATGAGTATAAGGGTGAGTCAGTGCTTTCATTTGCAGTTTGGTTTTTATTTTCTCTCTTTTTAGGAGGAAAAATGATTGGGACAGTGTATTCGTAACTTAAGAAGGTCTTCTTACCATCGCTGATATTTTCACACAATTGCATTCTACTAATTCTACCATTGTTGTAACAAACAACTTTGGGCTGTTCTACACTCCCTAGTAAACAAAAAATAATAATCACAGGCTTTCGTCAATTGTCTGTTGGTGAAAGCCCGTGAATATAGAAGCAATTTTGATATAGTGGAGAAGATTTGTATCTCAGAAGGATGATTTTATTGGAATTGCGTTTTCTGACCTCAGAGGACGCAGTTTCAATAAAAGAAGCAATATTGGATGAAGAACTAAACAGTTTAAAATGGTAGTACGATAAGCATATTACTAATTAAAAAAATAATTTATTGATCTCCACTATTAATCACAAATTCTTAACATTATATTCTACTGGTAGACTGTCGAAAAATTTCAAATAGGTCATAAATCAATTATATCATTATTTTTAGTAGATAAACGATAATATACTTATGGTTAATTATCTATGAATGAGACGATTCGTGAAACAATTTACTTAGTGGATAGTAAATCATATAATTTTAATAACTAATTTCTGAGATCAGCATATTCAACCTAATACGTAAACATACTTTAACTCATCATTTTTCCCATCAAATTTATCCAACAGAAACAAACGTAGAAAGTTTCTTTTCGATAAAATTCATAATAATTTATTGATTACTTTGTAGATACGTAGTTAAAAAACCAAGTAGTTCATTGAGTTACTAATATAAATCATAGAGTTTAAATCTAAATTTCGTACTATGAAAGTAAACATTAGTGAATTTTGTTATATTATTGACATTTTTTTTATCCATGATCATTCTATCATTGTTGATTTGAATAATCCAATTTTCTAATCATTTTGTTCTGCCATCCTATTCTTTATACATTATTATGTTTTTTCTCACTTGTCTCAAAGTGAAAAGATAGTCTAACCATTTGAAATGAATAAAATAATTCACTAAATATATCATTTGTATACATTTTTAAAGATTTTTATTTAAGCATAAATTAGGCGTTAATTATATGCTATATGTGTTTTCTCTTAATTTTTCTCCAAAATTATCACTTCTTAGATGGACATTCAAAGTTAACATCAGCGTATATTCATCATGTCAACCACCATCACCATGGTAAATGTCATCATAAACTTGGTTTGACGAATGTTTATGCAGGTTTAAAGTCTAATAAGTTTGGTGATACTTCTACAGTTTCTTTGAGTCCATCGCAGTCGCATAATAACAATCATAAGCCGTGTCTTAAGTCAAAGAATGTCGTCAGTAATAATGATAATAATAATACTACTACTACAGGTATTGAACCAATATCTCAAGATATTAAAAGTTATAATCCATTAGAATGTTTTTACAATTTATGGACTAATTTCAATTCAAAAGTAATAGAAGATAATTTCTATTACATGGATGAAAAATCGTTAGAACGACGAGTTCGTGCACAAGCATCAAATATAATTTCACCTGTATCCTTTTAATAATACATTATGTCTATGTAGATTTATGATGTTATCTGAAAAGAATTTGTTTAGTTCTTAAGTAATAATATTTGTTATGAATGGTAAATTATAATTGAAACCCTTTTCTTTTACAATAATGTTACATGTTTTGTACTTTTTTCTTTCAAATTCTACCAAAAGTTCATGCGATTGTACGCATATTGTATCATCTAACAATGGATAATGTTTATCTTATTTTGACACTGTATCTTTGATTTTAAAGTGAGCCATCACCAATATATATATATATATATATATATATATATATACGAACTATTTTTTGTTACTTAACAATTAATATCCCAATTCAAGTACTTATCCTTATTCTTTTTTTTCTCTCTCGATTTTTCGTGTTTCTTCACTTGTTATGTAAGCTCATTCATATTTCGTCTGCTTTTTCCTGGCTGTAGCTGGCTTTACTATTCGTTATTCTCTATATTGATGTATATAAATTCATATATAAGCCTACAAGAGAGGATTTGTGTGGTCGAGTGTTGTTAAGTGACTTTTGTGTTGATTTTCTCTATTTTTCTTTCCTTTACACACATTTATATTTGTTTAAATTGTACTTCTGTAAATATATAGCACTAATATGTCCTGTTTTCTCATAATAGGAAATAGTTTTTGTATTGGATTGAGTAAATCTTTACCTTTATGTTGTGGTAAATCTGAATTCCAGATACTACAACAGGGTATGCGTAGCATATTCAATCCATTAAAACAGTATTTGGCTATGTAGTTAGATATAAGCTTTGCATTATCAACAAGTAAAGTGTTTCTATGAATCGGTCAACGTAGTCCGCATAAATGCTCAGGTTGTTGCGGAACTTCTGTTATTAGTATAGTAGATTTATTTTATCTTTAGATGAACTTGTAAAGATTTTATGTACTCTGAAGACAATTTTCACTAGAGGTTCATGACATCTGAAGAATGAATAAGAGTCAGTAACAACTGTTTGGTGGTCTTAGTTATTAGTGATTACTTCCATTTAATACGGAATAATGCCTGAAAAATTCTGATCTCGCGGTATGATGTAATTGAATCTATCGATCACTCCACATTTCTAATTTTAGTCAATTCACGATATAATGAAGTTCTCATACAATTGTATAAGAGATGGAGTAGGTTAAAGAAATATATTCTGTACTTTATGATTTTCATTAGTTCTCTAATTAATATCGGTTGGTGACAAATATATTATTTTCAAGTGTAGTGCTAATAATCGTCTCTCAGTGCAATCAACGAGAACGACAAATGAAGATAATGTTCTAGCACTAGTTACAGATTTTGATGATTGTTTACATTAATATTTTCATTTCTATATGTACAATAAATACACATGCTAATTTAGACTCACTGGTCCAACTAACGATTTATTGGGATAGCCCTTTGTGTAATGGTATGTGATAAAATCAGAATTAATCGTCTTGTGATTTTACCTATTGCTGAAATCATGTGCCTTAAAGCTTTCATCTCTATTTTATAGTTTGAATTTCGCTACACCTACAGTATTCAATCACGAAAACACGTGATTGTGTTTACAGTAGAACATTTGTAAATCTACATATTTTATCTCTTATATTTATGGGTTGCATTTTCGACGGGACATGCCCACTATGTTGGATAGAGAAGCGTTCTTAAATATTTCACTATATAGTGCTTCAGTTTATTATATGTGTAAGCTTTTCATCCGGATAATGCGAGAAGATCTAGCAAATATGACCTCATTCATTGTTCAAACAACATAAGGTGATTTTATTGTGTTTTCTTTTGTTCATCTTGACGTATTAATACTGAGAAGTGAATAATAAATTACACAATTTATCGGGTTTTTAAGGAAAGGAATTAGTTTTACTAACTGGTGTTTGATATTGTCCTCGAAAATGGTGGTCCTTTCTAATAACTCATTAAACCAAAGTCTTATTGTTGCTTCATTTTAGTCTACTTAATCTTCTGCATTCGTGGACATGAGTAAATTCATATTGTCGACAATCTCAGTACGTATGAAGATCGTTTTTATTTTGTACTGCAATCAACAACACATACTGCTATGTGAGCTCAAGCTGGAATCAAATACCTTTCCAGTACTATATAGTTTTCAACTATGCTCTTACTGGTTTTGAATCTCATTAAAAACTATATACAGATTAGAAAAACCATGTAACAAGGTGTAGTAAACATTTCGATCGAAATTCTGATAAATGGTATTGGCTTTGACGACATTACTTCACTTAAGGCTGTCGAATATCCTCTTATTCACCTAGTATAGGAAATGTGGCACATAAATCCGATACTTTTATCCTAAATTATGTTAGGTTTCCCATTTCAAGGCAGATGTGCCTGGTCACTAGTTTTTCTTATCATTCCTTTAGAGACATGCAATATTCAGTCTAACATTGTCGATGTTGAACCTGATATTTAGTTAGTGTTTATGTGGAGCATAAATTGTAGAAATTAGGCTTGTACATCATTGGATCTCAACTTATCGGTCCAGAGGTTAAGCGTTCGCTCGCGAAATGGCCATCTATAACTTCCATATTGTCGAACTTTAGTTTGTGATTTCAATGATATTTCATAACAGTTTAGTGGCTGGTCACTTTTTATGTAGTTGATAATAGCGAGTAGTTTAACAGTTCACGCTTACTCACTAATCGATACCGATATATGTTTAGAATCATTTCCATTTAGATACGCTTGTCTACATATTTTCTGTTCAGTTCATCAAATACCTTCAGTTAACTTATGAAGGGTATATGCATTATTTGCTGAACACTTACTTGTTAGGTTCGTCTGTAAGAAGTGGTAAGCAGTAAGCTTGTTAAGTCTTAATATCTATGTATGTTCAAATTCTTTGAGATAAGCAGATCTATACGCAGATAGCTTGAAACTGCAGTTTCAAACAAGGGGATTTGATCAGCTTTGAGATGTAGGAAATTTATCATTGCTTACTAACCAAAGAATGTCCAATTTGTGATGTAGCATAGATGTTTTCAAAGAAATTTATTGACTGATGTGAGTAAAAGTTCAGATCTGTAAAAAATAACCATGTGGTTTTTGAATGGTTCAATTTTTCAGGGAATCAGAAAAACTTAACTAAGTAATTATAAATTCCCAAAAATGAGAAGGAAATCAATAAAATTTTATTATTTTGTCATATTAATCAATATTTCGAGATGACCTTACATTTTAATTTGTACTTTTAATATCTAATATCTCTCTGTTGATTGCTTTTATATTAATAATTAAGAAGTTAGTAATATTCCAAAACTTTTTAAATGATTCTATTTACCGTAAGATTTATCACTTATTCTTCTGTTATCAACGAAGTTAATTTTAAAAAAAACTAAGAGAACTGGAAACATAAATATATTGTAAATTCATTTAGTATTGTTTGTTCGAATCTTCCCATTGATGTTTAGGACTGTAACTGGTCAGTCTCTAATTGGTATATATGCATACTGTGCGTATTACCTTGGTATAGCCTAAATTCACAAGCATTGTAAGCAAAGATGGATAGTTGACGAGTCCCAAATAGGACGAAACGCGCATCGTGGATTCCACTGCTAGCCACTATCCATCTTAGCTTATAATGCTTGTGAATTTAGGCTGTATCGAGGCGATACGCACAGTATGCATATATACCAATTAGAGACTGACCAGTTACAGTTCTAAACATCAATGGGAAGATTCAAACAAACAATACTAAATGAATTTAAACTTCACCCCATTGAACAAGCAAGTGGCTATCAGGACTCAGTGTCCGAGTAGATAACGCGATGTCGTTTGAAGCGAAAGGTACTGGGTTTGAGTCTCGGAGTGAACATCAACTCTGAGATGTAGGTACATCCAGCTGACGACTCCTAAATAGGACGAAACGTGCATCCTGGATTCCACTGTTAGTCACTATCCATCCTTGCATACATAGATTGTTCCTAAAAAAATATCAGTTAAGTAGAGATTATTAAACTCGTATATATCAGCTAAACAGACGTTTAATTAGTAAAAAGTTTATGAAGAAGCCACTTTGATATATTCGATTGTACATTACTGTTGTTAAATTTTAACAATATAATGTATGTTTAGTTAAATTTTACGCAAACATTTTGTTTCACTGCCTATTGGGGTAACTTATAGAAATGATTCCATTATAATATTCCGTTTGATGTTCATATGGAGAAACTTGATTTAGCTTCATAAAACTACTATGAATCGCACATTTTTAAATTGCTTCTAAAATTGTGTTCCATGATATATGGAGTCTATTGATCAGTAAATGCACAATGGATATAAACTTGTTTAATAATTTGTTTTTAATTTATAATGGGATCTACAATTTCGTTACTACACTTTACAACTTTTTAAAATTAAATATTCTATTTCTGGATATCAGTTGTATTGTTTTGCTCAAATACTGCTGTTTACACTGAAAGCTTTTAGATTTGTCTTATTTTGATCAAATCTTTCAGTCAGTATAGAGAAGAATGAATTCCTAGGTGATCATCTAAACGAAAGTGCAGTTAATAGTTTATTAGGTTATACATCTTTTATTAGTTAGCGTGCACTCTCTTGTACGTTTGAATATATCTACTTTATAGCATACTGATTAACTATTTAAACACACCTTTACTCAATACTGCCTTATGGATTTCTGTAGGCTCTCGTCTCATAAGGTATGATTAAATTCGCCTAAATTTCAATTTGAATGATTATTTCAACACTAGAGTATGTTAGTGACATACCGTTTAATCATACACTTGAGATAAACATTTCTCTATTCGAATAAATTATAAAGTTGGGGTCTGATGATATGACATTGTTGTCTCATATTCTTGTTTTGTTTGAATTAAATCTGAGACAGTAGCAATTTTGTGATTGTTTTCGTAATATTATATGGATCACTGTTATACCATATAATTAACTTCTAATTAACAAAACTAAAATAAGTCTAATGTTTTCATTCTATTATTGTCTTCAGTTTTATAAAATACAATGAAGTATTCACAGAATTAAAATGAGCATATGTGCTATCATAATAATTCTAGAGAAATAACATGGTCTGACAATACTGAAGTTAGAAAATTATCGCAAACAATCATGATACATACAATAATTTTAGGCTTTTGTCATTTTTTTTCCAGACAATGTTCATGATATTACTCCGTACAAAGATTCCAAGCATATTTTCTATGTTTTTTTGTGTTTTCATGATATCTGGAAGTTCCGTTACATACCACTATTTATTGCAGTTTCGTTTTAG